CCAAAGACTGAATGATGAAGGGTTTACAGTCCTTTCTGTGTGGAGCAGTGGGAACTGTTGAATAAATTGGGGCCTCATCTGTCATTAAAGCATGGACACCTTAACTTCTCGCTCCTCTGGCGTCAATCTCTGTAGCCACAAGAGGCATGTTTTTGCAGCAGAGACTAAAAATAAGCCACAGAAGATGTGAGGGAAAAAGTGAAGTCTTTTCTAGTTCTCACCTCGGCAGAGGCAAAAAAAAAAATCTTTAAATGGAAGATTGTTTGTATCCAAAGTAGCCCACTATGCAGCTCCTGTCTTCCTTTAGACTTCTGAAACACCTTCCACCCTTCTTTCTGTTTACCTGTTATTTTAACCAGCATGTAAAGAAAATAAGGAAATGCTACCAGAGTCTGTCATCAAAAAAAGAATCAGCTTTGGAGATGGAAAAGTCTTCCGATTCTGAAGTGAAAGGAAAGGGTAAAAAAAGGAGACATGGAGAAGAGATTCTGTTATACAAACATCTGATCATTCAAATTGGAAAGTATTGCAAACATCTGTGGCAGAGGCAAGTGTCTCAACTTCTTGTCTACGTTGTTAATTAAAGACCTGCACATAGACTTCTTGTTTTATAAAAGAAATGTCCCCTATATGGAGAATCTGCCATAAATTAGTGGGTTTATTACTATTCACCAGTAATGTAAGAAGATAATAATGACGGGACACTCCCCCTACATGGGCCTTTGCTGCCTCTCTTATATGATAAATATGTTGTCATGCAATGATTTCTGGGTGTGAGAGTGTGTGTCTGTTGGATGGAGTGGGCGACGCGTTTATGTTTTGCTCAGTGGTTTACGTAAGCATTAGTTGTGGGAACATTCCCACTCATTCAAACTCCAATAACCCAATAACTGCCTTTTCCATGTTTGACATTTTTAGACCTGACGTCTCTCTATCGAGGTTAAGCACACAGCCCCTGTTGATGGTATTTATTATGAGTTCTTCTAGGTCATAGTCCCCACCGCCAACCTGTACATGACTTGTTTTTTTTGTATGAAATTAAAGCGTATAAAACTGTATATATGTATTATTGTGTAGAATTAAAAGTCCTCCTTGCCAAAGGCTTCTGGTTTCCGCTGTGTCCGTTTGGGCCTGTGATAAAATTAAAGGTGGTTACCATTTCTGTTTCTTACCTCAGCGATGCCTCTGCTGGATGACCTGCGTAGCTGTCACACAGGTCTTTGGATGGTTGAGTGAACAAAAGGAAAATGGTGAGTATTATTTTCTAATTTGAAGTAATTTCTTTAAATCTTTCACATTTTTACTGCAAACTGTCTCTTGGATTCCACTGGCACTAAAAGCTTTCATCTTAATTGAGATGCAAGCGATTCATTCATATCAGATTTTATCATTTGCACATTTTACCACCTGCATTTTCAGATTACTGAAGTCTGATTTTATAGCAAATTATTCTGGGGCACTCTTCTCTGGATCATCAGCCACACTTTAGACTCTATCACTAGAGTCAGGGTCTTTTTAAGTGTATTCTTTTTTTTAAAATGGGATAATTTTCATCCTGGTTTCCAAGTATCTTAACTGTTTAATAGTTTTAGGCATTTTGCATACACTGATAAAATAAAAAAAAAAAAACCCTAATGACAGGGGTTTTTTTGGCAGCGACTGTCGGATGTTTTTCCTCCACCAGTCCTATCCTGTTAACTAATCTCTCTGTCATTACCCTTTTAAGTCTACGCTCAGCTGTCACCCCCTGAGGAGCAGAAGAGAGCTGAGCACAAGATCTGTTGCAACAGGTGTATAGATGGATCGTCATGTAGACTTCCCCACCTGTCAGTACTTTTATTAGTACTTTTATTAACCTCGCTGTCCCCATTCTTTCTCAAACAACAGCAGACCGACTAGAAACCCTGCTATGCATTAACCTTAAGAGAAAATGATAAAACTGAATCTGTTTAATTGAAACTGTGCTTGACTGACATACAAAGATGTGGGATGTAGGTTTTCTGGTCATTTTCTCACGTTTTCTAACAACCTGAGGAATGTCCAGTTCTTTGTGTTAAATGTAAAAACCTTCATATGCAGAATGGAAATAATCTGTATGGTAGAAATGCACTCTTGTAGCATCAAACACAGGTGATTCATAGTGGTGTGGGCAGGCTGAGACTGTCTGAAATTCCACACTAATATAGTATTTAGTATGCTTCAATAATGAGAGTCTTACCCTTAGTATGTGTATATAATTGCAGTGTGTAGCAGTACTTTAAATGCATACTATTTCCAGGTAAATATTAGAGTATGTGGCACTGGATACTACACTGGCGTATAAATCTATAAAAGCAGTGCAGCAGTAACAGAATTTAAGAGTCACAGCTGGCAGCTCAATCTTTATGGTAAATCTTTATAGTGTTTAAAAATAAGGTGCCAATTTGTTAATGATTGCTTGGTCTCGCACAGGTTGTTGGATAACCATTAACACGTGATGCTCTGTAAGTGACATGAACAGTAGTAAAAATATTGAGTATGTAGTGCATGGTTTGGGATTTCAGACACTGTGAATGCTGTTTCTCTCTAGGCCTGAATTTGTCTGAGTTCACTGTGAATGAAGCGAATCTGTGAATGAAATTGATCCTTCCAGTCAATGAAACTGTCTCGTCTTTGGGTAGAAGTCGTTCTCTGTGCGTCATAAAAGCGTCATCCTCCGCCTTCCACTTGATCAGCTCCCATCTGTCAGGCTTCCTCTGACCCTGTTTCCAAATAATTTCATCAGCTGCTAAAATTGACAATGAAAATTTTCAACTAAGTGTAGCTTAGTCATCGTCAGTCCCCTGGATGTAAATTTTTTAAGCATCTGTTTGCATGTGCAGATTTGTTTGCAGCTACTCTGCTGTTAATGAGATAAGCGACTGTTGCGTCCTCAGTTAATCCAATTTGGAGACCTGCAAGGTCATCAGTCAAATCCACATAAGAGCAGAGCGCTGCGGAGCGGAGGTGTCTACAGGTACACAAGCTGAAGTGCTGGCAGCAGAGCATTAAATGGATCCTTTGCTTTACAGCTTTGACAAATGATACCATCAGCCCATTGTGTCTACAGGAGAACGCACAAAGGTCAGTCATTGTTTCTTTAAACCATGTGCAACATGTTTTGTAAAATTGTGACTTTAGGGTGTCTCTTTTTGATGGACACAGACAAAGACTTTTCCAAATAAAGGATGGATAGTATTTTTTTCTTTTTTTTAAATTTCAATATAGAGATATTAAAGTTTTCTCTGCTTGTACTTTTTATTTGCAGATTACAGTCTCCAATAAAAGCCTCACTTCTGCTGAATATTTATCCCAAACAAAGAGGCGCACCTTCATGCTGATATTGCCTTAAATACTCGGAAAAGTCTACCTGATAAATCAAGCGACATCTACAAACGCCGCAAATGGATTCCTTAATGTCACTGGGCGCTCCCCTGAAGCAGTTCACCAGCTGTGTGTCGGGGAAAAGCACCGCCAAGAGGGGCGCCGGGAGGAGCCAGTCTGTCCGCAGAAGCAGCTTCACCCGCAGGAGGAGCTTCAGCAGGAGGAGAAGCGTTCCCTGCAACAGCCAAAAAGTGCCAGACTCCTGGCTCAGAGCTTACCAGGATGAACTGAAGAGGGAAAGGTAAAAATAAATAAATAAATTAAACAGAAGCATTCATGTGATTGATTGAATTTCAGTTTTTAATGTGGTTTTGCCAGGGTGTGTGGAGTTTTTCACGATCACTTTTAGCTTTCTTTGCAATACAATAAACAGGAGTTAGAGTTGCTGTTGTATTTTAAGAAAACAATGATTTTCAGTTACTATCTTGTCATCAAGCTAAGACTCTTGGCCAGACAGACCATGCTTAGTGAGGATAAGACTCTTCCTCACATGAATAAGCTCCTCGCCCATGTGCCACGCTAAATGTTGCTCTTTGCTGTTTGCCAAAGGAAACGTCAGCAAGCCATGCTGGCCAAGAAGAACGCTGAAAGGGCTGTCAGGAAAACTCACTTCAGGAGCCATCACTGCCTCCCACGGGTAAGTGAGCAGCTACATTCAAATGCTACGGACTTATCAGCGTGTCATTATCTAACCTGAACACCTGTGCCTGCAGCAGAGCAACGCTTCCAGGAGGAAACCGACCCCGGCCAAGGACGACTCCTTCTTTGGAGCCTTTCAGGGCCTCAGTCTGGATGGATTGATGGGGGCTACTAATGCATCCCCTGCTGTGACGGCGCCTGGTGCAGGTGCAGGAGATCAGTGCAAAGTCATGTGAGATGGGACGCGTAAAGACGTTCAGATTTTTTCCAATGAGCCACATGCTTTTGCAAATTTTTCTGCAAATGAGACTGGATGGAGAAAATGAGACTGGCTCTCACCATGTAACCCAAGAGGACGGGAAACATATTTATATTACTTTGTATTTTCTGAAGTATTCTTTTTCCTTTGGCAGACAATGCTGCTTCTTATTTTGATGTTTGTTTTACAAATTATAGACTGTAGCTATCACCATTGTTTCATGATGTTTGCTGAGTACAACTGCAAAGAAAACTGAATTATTAAACTTTTATTTTATTTTCCCACTGTTCATTTTCAGTCTTTTTTTTTTCCATTTTGTCCTTAAAAAAAGCCAAAACAGAAACTAAGCAGTTTTCGATAATTTATTTTCTGCTGCTATTCACTTGGGAGTAAAATGGTGAGCTGCTTAAATTTACATTATGAATACACAGAAGACATGCACAGAGATGTAGGTTCTCAACAAGAATGCCTGTTCCAACAACACATTTGTAAATTTGTATCCAGTTGATATTCTACTTATAAAAGGAATCAATGACAGCCAGATAATAAGAAGCATAGATGCCACATAGCTTATAGATATCTGTATCCCATAATCTAGTTATTTCACTTTTTTCTGCAAGTTTTAACAGTTTTGGAGACCACAGTGAAGTAGGCTTGTTAAGACAAAGATTTATTAAAAAAACAAAACAAAACAAGGAGAACAAGAAAGCAAATGACAGCAAACCATGCTTCCACCCTCTGTCACACGAATGGAAGATGCATCATTTCTTTATTAACCGGGGCAGGTATGATCTCCAGCTCCACATCATAAATATGTACATTAGAAAAGCCAAGTACAAAACTACAGCTGTCGGGGTCGGGATGTTGTCCTACGACACAATGCTGATGGCTGTGATGATGATGATTACACAGATGACCGCAGACAACAAGGAGAGGATACACAGAAGTGTTTCTTTCATTTAAACAGTGGATTTTAATTGAGTGAAGTCCAGTTTTACATCATTCCCTCTGTTCCATTTTGACTTTAGGGGGCTTTAGGAAGGACCTGTTCTTCTTCTCTTTGCTTTTTCCTTTGGCCTGGAAGTTCCTCCAGCTGTCCACACGCCCATCTCTTGTTTCCTGAAGAAAATAAAAATATTATTTTTCAATTAAGAAATCCAAATAGCACAGTCATCGTGTTTCTATTTACAGATGCGTAACAACTGGCATACAAGAACGCACCTCAAAGTTTTTCTGCCACTCTCGCTGCCGCTTAGCGTTCTCTGCTGCCTCGATTTCTTCTTCTCTCGCCCTTTTCCTGGTAAATTGAGAGAAATCCAGGATGTTATGAATGAAAACATTCTCTGTTTCTAAAACAAACTACCAAGTGGTAAAGACGGGTGAATGTTTTAGTCATACAGAGCAGCAACCAAGTTCTTAAAAATCCCACCAATTACCTTTCATGCATTTCCTTTGCTTCCCTCTCCTTTCTCTTGATTTCCAGCTCTGCAAACAGCTTCATGGTCTGTTTGTACACTGCTTGCTTGAACTGGAGAGAAAGAAAAATAAAAAACACATGTATGATATGAAGTACAGTAGTTAGCTCTGTTTCCTCATAGCAAGAAGGTCCCAAGTACTAAACCAGGGCTGACACATGTTTGCATGTTAGGTTAACTGGCAATTCTGAACTAACCTAACTGTGAATTCAGCTGTTCCCTTTAGCAATCACCACAGTGGATCATTTACCTCTATTCCTATTATCCTCTGTCACATAAAGCCTTCACTACTTCCACAAATCCTTTCTGATCTCATCCCTCTTTCCTCTTGTCTGGCAACTCTATCTTCAATCCAGTATATTTACTACCCCTCCTCTGCACATGTCCAAACCAACTGAGCCTTGCCTCTCTAATTTTGTCTCCAAACTGCTCAACCCGAGCCGTCCCTCTGATCTACTTGTTGCTAATCCTGTCTATTCTGGTCCTCTGGACGTCTTTTTGTCAGTGCTTTTTCATACATCATAGGAGATCTCGCTACCATCTTGAAAGCCTTCCTATTCATCCTTCTGTCACAAATGACCCCCTCTACTCTGCTCTTCACCACTCTGTTACTTTAGATAGATGATCACAGGTATTTAAACTCATTCACCATCACTGCCTTTTGGTAACACTGCTGGGCATTTATTCAAAGTACTTTAATTTCAATGGTGTCTGCCACATAAAAACTACACGCATCAGTCAAATCAGATTTAAAAAATAAAGGTTCCTTCCTGAGGAAGGAGTGTGTGTGTTTTAATAAACTCATTGTTTGATTGCACTCTTCTGGGCCTCTGTTGGTTTGTTTCATTGCTCAACATTTATTGAATTTGGGACAACTTACTTCAATGTCTTTCCTGGAGCAAAACTCTGCTATTGGTTTGCAGTGTTAGCACGATCCCTCTTTTTTTTACATCTTGCTAGTCCAGTAATTTGTGATAAAGACAGAACTATTCTTCACATGCCTTCCCTTTAAAACATTGTGGTTCTGAAATTACAATAAAATTATAATAAAAGTCTCAGTACCTCAGTAGAACTTACCATTTCGGGATCATCTTCCTCTACATCCAGTGGTTTCCCTTCTTTCTTCAACTGTTTCCTTTTCTCTTTTACCTTTAAAATATAAAGAAACATCGCATTAAAAAAGTCCAGATAATGAAACTGAGTAACATGGAAAGGGGGGGGGCGCGCATTAGATATTTTGTTTTCATGGTGGAAAATACTCACCATATGCTCCACATATTCCTTTCCTGCATGAATCACATCTAAGGCTCTCTTCTTCTGCTCTGGATCCAGTAAGAGTTTGTATGCCTTGTCCACAGCTGGACATAGTATAACATTAAGGCTCGATTAAAGAGTGGTTTTAATGTAAGATTAGCAGATAACTGTATCACAGAGGCTCTAACAAAGTCAAATTGTTGTTTTCATACTTTTTATTTTAATTTGTACAAAAACAACAATGAGACAGAAACTGGTTTTTAGGTTTTGTTTTTTTTTTCCTCCAGAGTTTATTGAGTGTCCAAATAGCCAATAAAACCCATTTTAATTAACTTGGAGCTGTACAAAAATACAAGCCAATAAGTGATGTACGTGAGAATTGTTACCTTCGAACGCTTTCTGTGCTCTGTCTGGATCGCCCTGATTTTTGTCTGGATGGACCAAAATGGACAACTGCCAAGTAAAAGAGATTTAAAATTAAAAACAAAAACAGCATTGCAAAGAACACGCCATGTCTGTAAAAATGAGGTCACTGAAAAGCCTCTCCTCCATAACACTTCCTTACCGCCCGAAACCTTTTCTTCAGTTCATCATCTGTTGCCTCTGGATCAATTTGCAGAACCTGAAAGAGATTTGAAATCGACAATTGTTAATAGCATTGGATCTCATAGCATTGATACATCATAAGCAGTTAGAGCTTTGAATAATATAATAACTCTTGGGTTCTGTTATTAGGCTTTGGAAAAGTTTGTCCCTGACAGGTAACTTTGGTCAATCACAGATCCTTTCAGATTGGCTGAGTGAGTAGTATGAGGAGTCAAAATTATTGCACAGAATGAAGGAAGACTGTCACTTAAAAAAAACATGATTTGATTCCTAAGATCAGCACAACATTTAAAAGGGTACATTTTAAAATTGTTTCCTCTTCTTTGATTTAGGTCTAATAAGATACAGATATGAAAATAATAAGGAAGCATCAAGTATAAATATCAATTACATAAGTTCCTAAAAGCTATATACATTATTGCAGTTCCTTTGTTAATTAGAAGTGAAGTGTGAATGAATTATTAAATATGCTACATACATACATTGATAGGTAGCATATTTAACAATGATAATATTAATTAAAAACAAAACAAAAACGACACCATTAGTGCACTAGGTTACCTCAAAAGGGTTGAGATTGAAGTATGATGCGCCAGGTCTGAGCAGTCTGTCAATCTGCTGCTTGGAGGTTAACACAGAGTCTCGCTTCTCGATCTGCTTCACCTTTAAAAATGAATAGCAGCAAAACAAAACAGTGAAAAACTTCACAATGCAAAGGTCCTGGCAAACAAGGCTTCCGGAATACATTTTTATTTTCTTCTGAATTATGTCAGCCAGCTCCGAAGAATGAAATACGAAGAACGAGAAGGATGCTCTTAATCTTTTCAGGAAGCTATCCTCATTAAATAAATACAGGTCAACATATACACTGACCCAGCAGCAGCTTCATAAAAGGCCAGCCAACGCAGTAACTCCTATTAAACAAGCCATAGTTTAGGTAACATGGCTTGTAGTACTAGCTGCTGATAATAATGAATAAAATAAGCCCAAATAACGGTGTTTTTTTCCCGTACTAACAGAAGACTGAAGCTGCTCACAAACATCTCATTTAACGTTAGCTTCTCGTTAGCTGATGTCAGCAGGCCTCGTAGGTGATAAACGCGGTAATCGCTCAATAACCGGCTTCAGTCGGTGCAAAGACAGCAACCGATACTTTAAAGTGAATAATCTAACTTTAAATCTGCTTTACCTCAGTGTAAAAATTTTGAAATAATTCATCCGACACACTATGCACAGAAGACTCTCCCTCGGCGGTCGCCATCTTCGCTCGGGTTTACATGTGACGTCGTGACATCACGTGACTACAGATTAAAAATAAACCTACGTAACGTAAGCACACGTTTTATAACAATTTTAAATATTGAAAAAATATGAAAGTGAATGAATGTGCTGGGTTAGAAAGGTTTAAAGTTTTTCAAATTAAAAACATTGCATTGGCATGTTTTGACATGACAGGAACTAGAAGACTTTACTTCCGCTTCGACGTTTTTTTAACCAACATTTAACATTTAGCGACGAAGGATTACAAACAGCGGTCACGCCTTCACGACGCTTTGCTAAAATCTTTAAGCTGGTGCAGGACTCTGTTGTAACACGTCTTCAGCCTTTTTTCCCCAAACCAGCCCCCACTGTCGTTCACATCTGCGTCTGTGTATTCAATGTATCACACTTGACTGAACGTCTAAGAATATATACTTATAAGTGCCATGGTGCAGACATCCTGTGTGACTTATGCAATATTTATTTAAACGTTTAAGGCATGAAATTTCCTTTGCTTAGGTCAACTTTGTGCTTCCTGTATTTATTTGTATTGAGTGATGTGAGGCAGTGAGTTGAGTACAGTCAGCTTGATTGGCTGAGGTCTACAGTGAGCCACATATGCCCACTCTCCTATTGCCCATTTCCACTGGTTTGACTGGAAATGTGCTATGAGACAGTCAGCTATAGTTTACTGCACTCAGTGATTTCTAATGAGATCTCAGAAATGCTGTAGTGGTATAATATTGTGTTTATACAAAAGAAAAAAAATATGCACACACAAAGCTGCAAATTTATTTGTGCAATAACATGTATCAAACAGTCCGATACATAGATCGTTCCCTCTTCCAGCAGTAAATCTTTGAGCTGGATGAATGAGCAGTGGCAGCCTACTAGGCGGAGCCAAAGGCCTCTGATGGAGCTGTGGGTCACGTGTCCATCTTTTTCTTCGATTTCTGTCCAAAGACAAAAAAGAAAAAAGGACATGTTTTTATTTATTTAAAAATCAAGCATCTCAACATTGCTCCAGCTGAGAAGGGGATCATTTATACGATTACTACATTGCAAAACTTTCTGACCTCTGACTTCTGTTGAGCCTAACGTTGCTGATGTGCCCCCCTGGGTTCTGGACCTCTGCACCTTCCTCATCTTGTGGTATGTGGTTTATCATCAGGGATAGCAGTCCCTAGAAAACATACACAAAAAGCTTGCTAAAAGAAATCCTGGTTGATCGATTTTTAAACATTAACCATCAAACCCTGCACATGACTGTAGAGAGTCATATGATGCTCATTTATAAAATCCACAAAATCCATAACTTTATATATTTTTATTCTGAAAACCTTATAAGACTTACTTGCTCTGGGAAGTTTAGAACTAGGACATCCAACATTGTTTTAAAACATGAACTAACCTAAAAATAAAATCATATTTAGTCTTTCTGAGTATTACTTGATAATGAACAATCTTACCAATCAGTCCTTTCCATTTCTGTGAACCCATTCACATGGATGGGGGCAGCTCCTTTACTGCCTGGTGACAAGAGGCAACATATAAAGATACAGTTCTGACATGAGAGGCTGTTATGGAAACTCCAGCATTTGCAGGCACTTTAATCAAAATGTGTGTGTGTCAGTAACTAGCTCTACATCCCCGGCTTACCTGTGAAACACAAATAATGTAGCCCTTCTACTGCCATCTTGTGGCGGTAAAGGGTAAAGACATCAGTTTAGAGGTGCAGCCTTTGTTTAAACACAGGCCAGTTTCACAGATGTTTAAGTTAGCAGCTCAAAATCGGATTGAATAAATATGAAAAGTAACTTCTCTAGTAAATATGGACCCCCTAATTAACACCTATTCAGCTCTGAAAATAGCCAATAAGTGCAGCATCGGCAAAGGAAACAATGCACCACTGGTAGTGCTGGTGCAGAGCTGCTACCTCTAGTGGCACAGAAGGGGAAAAGTGTCCACCCACCGGCCAAATTAAAGAACGCGTGGAGACAACAGACGATTTTGGTGCAGTAAGCTGAGACAGGCAGCAGGTGTTTTGCATAGTTTTAGGTTTACAAATGCTTACCAAATTCCTTGGCTGGCTGCCCTTCTGGCTGTTTAATCAGTCTAAATTTGTGCACGACTCCCATTGACCTTTAGATGAAAAATTGGCATTATAATTGTGAATGAAGTACCCATTATTCCCATGTTCTCTAAACCCCAGAAATCTGCCGGTTTGAATTATTATTTTCAATGATTCTTCAATCAATTTTTGATTCTTCTTGATAGCCTGGAAAAGAGGAGAGAAAAAAAAAAATCCCCCCCCCCAAAAAAAAACCCAAGGAAAAAAACGTTGATTCACAGCAGAGTATATTAGCAAAGAGATGATAAAAGCATAGTGTATAATTAGGGCTAGTGTTTCTCCAGTGATTACAATTAGCTAGAGAAGAGGAGACAGTACTCTGTGCAAGGCTAGCTCACCCTTGAGTACCGTTCAGGTGAGTTCCTCATTCTAGCGGTGCCGCTCTCAATGCTTCTCCACCTAGGCAGGTTGGAATAAGAGGACAGACACATGAAACAAAATACAATGACACCATGGTACCAAAACGCAATGGCTAAAAGAAACAAAACAAAACCAAAAAGTTTTCTAAACAGATCCTGACAGGTGATCGCTTGCTATAGCTGGAGGTGCGTTTTAGGAAATTTGGATGGTCAGATCCTTGGGGTCTTCAAAAGGAGAGAAAAAGACGATGAGATGATGTGCAGATTTTGGAAATTAGCTGCAGAAAATCCATTCCAAGTCAAATGTGTTGCTCTAAATGTTGTAAGGAGGTCAGTATCAGGACCACAGACATGTGAATAATTTTTTTTCTACTATTATCCAAAACTGTCCTTGTCTTGAAAGTTTGTGGATACAGAGCTTAAGTTTCATAAGATGTCAGCCCTAAAAAAAGAGGGGAAAAAACAAAACACTGGAGCTGGGAGGTGCTGGAAATTTACACCTGTGAAAATCCTGTGTTAGCTACCCACTGCTCTCCAATTATTAAATGTTATACCGGTCAATAAAAAGCTCAATAAGCATTTGCATTATTTTCACAAGAGTAAATTGCTTTCCATCTTCTCGTCATAAACGACAGCATTAAGTGACGGTAGGCTGGTTGTTCACCGTTTGACAGACAGGAACAATCTTGGGTAATTGCAAGGAGTCCAATTTACAGTGCGGTCCCTTTAATTGTTGCTGCAACATTCACAACATGAATTCTGTGTGCAGGATATTACTGCAGTCTGAAGAATAAGGAATACAAAAAATAAATCCTGCTTTTGTATCATCCAGACACCTTTCGAATTCTCGTCCCGTTGTCTGACTGCGCAATTTCAGTCGTTTGTGATTAACCTTTGAGAGAGAAAGAATTTGACTTGGAAAAGAAGATATTCATCCAAATGAGAGAATTGAGATTAAAAATCAAATCAAATACTGAATGACAACACGGAATTTGAGTATCTGACAATTGACTGATGCTCAGCTGAGTTTTATTGAAACGGAACAAACGTAAAAGTTATAAATACAAAGAACATCAGAGAACAAACTGCTATGGCTCTTAAGGTAAGCCAAACCAAATTCTACTGGGCAAGTTTAAAGAAAACATAGGAAGTTATGGTATCAGTTTAAAAAACAAAAAAACACAATTTGTCTATATCTAGAAACGCTAGGCATACACTTTAAACATTACAAAACTTTGATTTTTCTTCCTTCCTGTGGATTCTTTTCTCCACCGTTGCAAAAACAAAAAGGAAAAAAAAATGACGTAAGAAAGCTCTACCATATGCATTTATTTACAAGCAAGTCCCTAAAGCAACTATGAGAAACCACAAATAAAGGGAGTACAAGAAGGAGAAGGGAGGAAAGGGGCATGGACAGAAACTTCCTGCAAGGCAATATTCATTATTTAATGTTGTCTCAGACTTTTTGAGAAGGAAATGTCCACTTTTTTTCTTTTTGTGTGTGTAAATGTTCATTGTTGGCTTTAAAAAGAACCAGGAACAAAAAGTAACAATAAAAGCGTTTTTTGAGTGTTTTTCTTTTTTTAAAGACACGTGTCCCAATGTAACCGTAGGAGTAGGAAATGATTCACCACAACGGTTACGTTCATTTCTTCAGCCAAAAGGCTTTCCAGCCAATCATCTTGAGCCAATTCTGGGGTCTGTCCATTTATTTTTATTTTTTCTGAGATATATACAGATTTTTTTTTTCCACGAAGGATGAAGAATAAAAAGTCAATCAAAAACATTGTGGCCAATCTCCTGTTTGTTTTTTTGTTTTTTTATTGTTGTTTTTCTTTTTTTTTTTCTCTTTTCTTTTTTTTTTGTTGCCAAATACCTTTTGGTGCATCTACTTCCACTGCTGCCCATAAGAATCCTGTGAAAACTCCATGGTGTCATTACTGTAACCATAGTTACCAGAATAGTCGGCCCCTTGCTGCAGGGGCTGCTGGGCGATGGGCTGGGACCCCCAGTTCTGTTGGTTGTTGGTCTGGCGGCGCTTGGAGTCAGGCTGGTTAAACACGTCTGCCTTCCTCTTTCCGCCGACGTTGCCGCCGCGATTGCCCCTGGCCCCGCGAGGACCGCGGCCCCTCTGAGGCTGGAAAGGGGCACCTCGCCCTCCTCGGCCACCCCTCGGACCACCGAGGGGTGGCCCTCTTTGGGCGTAGCCACCCCGGCCTCGTGTCGGTGGAGCTCCACGAGCCCTGGGAGGAGGTGGACCTCCCCTGCTGGGACGAGTACCACGGCCCCTCATGGTGTACACGTCTTCGTAGCCGTAGTAAGGGTCTTCATAGCCACCACGGTAGTCATGATAGTCGTAGCCATAGTAGTCATCGTAGTAGTCATCATAGCCATAGTAATCAGGTGGATAGGCATAGCCCCCTCGGCCACCACGGCCCCTGCCTCGGCCCGGCGGAGGCATGCGTGGAGGTGGATAGTAGTAGTAGTCATCATACCTGGAAAGAAGAAGATATCACTTCAAGCAGTTGATTCCTTAAATGAGAAGACGTCAGCTGACCAGTCAGATGTCTCTGACTCACCCCGCATTTCTGGTAGTCTGCCGAGCTGCTTGGCGCTCTTTCCTCTTCTTGTCTGGGGGCTTTGCCAAGACAATCTCAATTTCTTCTCCTCCCAGTTCCTTCCCATTCATCTCCTCCATTGCCTAATCAAACAAAACAATCAGTTTCTCATAAAAGAAACTCACGGAATCGTCACACAAGCAAAAAGGTTTGGCCAAAGCACGAGAAACTCACCTTTACGGCAGCATCCCTCTCTTCAAAATGGACAAAAGCGTAGTCTTTCAATTTCTTCACTCGTTCCAGCTTTCCAAACTGGGAAAAGGTCTTTTCAAGAAGCTCCTCAGTCACTGCTGTTGCCAGCTTCCTCACAAAGAGCACCTTTACCTGTAACAACAGAGGAAACAGTATGTTTGTCGCACTGGAATGCAGAGCATGCCTGATGTGTATTAAACAATGAGACACTAAAATCACTAACCTTAGCCATGACCTCTGGGTCTGGTTCAGCTACAGGGTCAGCCCACTCCACAGTGACCGGGTTCCCCCACACTTTGACCTTGCCGCTCATCAGGCGACGGCGAGCCTGTGCCGCGGACTTGTGGTCCTCATACTCGAGGAAACAGAAACCACGGTTCTTTTTCTTGTCATCCGGCTGATGATACAATATCACCTCTTGGAGACCCTCTGTGAGGTAAACAATAACATCTGACTTTCACAACCATTGTTGTGTGTGTTTATCAATCATTTTTAAGCACTAATAATTTGTTTAAATGAGTCTCTAAGAAACAAAAACCTGCATGTTAGAAACAAACCTGTCACTTTGCCAAAGTCTTCCAATATACTTTCTCTTGTTTTGTTCTTTGGAATCGATCCGACAAACAGGCGATTGTTTGCAACAGATATACAAACTCCCAAGTACTTGCCAGGGCGGATTTCATGGTTATCACACTGTAAAAAAACAACAACAAAAAAACCCCAGACAAGTTAACAAATGAGTGAAATGAGCTGAAAATACTGTGAAGCACAAGTTATTTCACTTTCTAATAAGTAAACCTTTAAGTCTATTTCCCCTCAAGCTGTTAAAATATGGACTGATATTTCCCGCGACATTACTTACAAGCTTCACAGCCTTCTGTGCATCATCCTTATTGCAGTATGTGATGAAGGCATAACCTCTGTTCTGACCAGATAAAGGGTCCATCATTAACCTGAGGTCCCAGATGGGACCAGCAGACTCAAAGAGCGGCACCAGCTCATCTTCATACAAATCCCTGGGGATTTTTCCAACAAAAACCTGAGGAGAGGACAGAGGGGAAAGAAATGTGAGAGAGCGTAATGATTTGCAAAACATTACGCTTTTAGTCTTTATGAATGATATTTAGCTTATATTTTCTCAATCTTACTCAAATAATAAAACCCAGCCTTGGAAATCATGACAGACAATTTTTTAATCTGTCAATCGCTTCTCTACCTCAGTTCCACTGCCTGGATGAGTGCCTTTGAACACATCCTCAGGTGGAGGACCCCCATATTTTCTCTGGCCTGTAGTGACATCCAGGGTGTATCCTGTGCGCTCCAACAGGGCCTGAAACACACACACACACAAAACAAACATTAACTGAACTGCGGCTGCAGAGGCGTGTTTATATGACATTCAATCTGACCCGCTAAACAAAAGAGATTAGCCAAATGACTTTGTTTACCTTTATTTTTGCCTCATCTGGGCCCTTGGTGGACTCTTGTACCTTACTTCCTTGTTTTTCTCTCTGCCTGTAGGTCTTCATAACTCCACAAAGGAAAGCACTTTTATTCTGCAATGAAAAACAAAATCAAGTGAGATAATCAATTTGCAACAATTTGTGTCAAGTTAAAACTCCTGTCAAGGGCAAATAGACATGGGTCTATTCATTTTCTCCTATGTGGATACCTGTACGTGGGACAGGTCGCTCTCTTTGAACTGCTGCAGCACAGTAAGCGCTCCCTCCTCATTGAATTCCCGCAGTGCATCGATAGCCCTTTCATCCAGGTCAACGTATGCCACTAGGCCTACGGGTACAATGGACGTTCAGCATCAGGCTCAGCTACAGAAAAGCAGCTATACATTATTCTTTTAGTGGAAATAAACAAACAGCCACTCACCTGTCTGGAAGATATTATCTAGACTTTCAGCTACTTTCTGGGGCAGCCCAGCATCAAGGAGGGTCTGGTAGTTCTCTGTGTGTGTTGTGGTCACATCCATAGGCTCTTCCTCCTCCTTTGCCGGGGCAGAACTACCGTTTACCTCAGCAGCAGCCATTCTCCTTCAGCAGCAAAGCAAAGAAATACATTTTAATGGTTCTTTTTAAGAGTTTATTTTACTTAAAATCAGACCAATAAAAAGAAAGATCCACGATCCTAAACTACATTTCAATCTTTATGTATGTCATCAACTCAAGTGCAGTTAATCAAGTTGATTTACAAGCTTTATGTTTTCTATTTAATTACAACAACAAAAAAATAGGACTCACTGGAACTGTAGTTCTTATAAATGTAATTTAATAACTATAATTGGCGTCGACACGTTATAATGTACTGCACAACAACAACCTGGTCACTTCAAGAAAACACGTACAGCCTCAGTCCCGCCCCCCTTCACATGCAGCTTGCAAGCCAGCGAAATGAATGCTTTTCTTTTTATGTATTTACGTCCATATGTTTTTGACCCCACAACACCCTCTTCTACAAGAAGACAACGCTGGATAGATTTTACAGCATTTTTAGTCAAGAGGGATCCCCGAATACGTTATCTTGCCCTTGCGGAAAAAAACAAAACAATGATGATGGTTAGCTTTCTAGCTGGCTAACGAGCTTACATACGAAGGCCTCGCCGTGCAGAAAGACACCTTTCGCAAATCAAGTACACGCGCGCCCCGTACACGGGCAAACACACAGTTAGCGAAACTCACCAGAGCGAATCAGGAAACTAACTCCGACGGGTGTTAAAACGTGAAACGACTAGCCTATCGGACATACAAATAGTGTCTAAATGCGCGGAATATGTTTGAGTCTAACCCACGAGACAAATTTCCAGACAGATACGGTCTCGTCGTCGGCTCGCCCAAACAACGCCACTGCTTCGCAACCATCGCGAGATGTGGACGAAAACTCGCCGAGTATGTTCGTTTTGACAGGCCAGGCCGAGCGTGCTCGTATCGGACAACCTGAAGCTTATAGTAAGTTTAAGACCTATGCTTACCGCTTATAAGGAATGAAGTGAGCTGAGCTTAACGCCAACCAAACCAGGCGATAACCGGGGCCAAGCTCAAAAGGGCTTTGCAACTCAAACTAAGCGGGTAGCGCTGGGATAAAAAACGAGCCCTCCATCAGCTATCCAACCACGGAGAATGAACTATAACTGGCACCGCTTTAATCCAATGGGAGCCACATTTCTACATACAGGATCAGCCTCCTTTTTCTAATAAACAAATCAAAGTTCAAAGTAAAAAAAAAAAGAAGTTAGGCAATAAAGGAGAGGCAATTAATTCTGGATACATGTGAAAATTAATCATTTTATTTTATTGTTTTTGAAGTTATAGTGTTAGCATGACCTCGGCTTTACATAAGCTGGACAAAAATCAATGCCTAATAACCATCAACCTCTTGATACGTCTGGGCTCCTAAAGAGAAATAACAAGGTTCAGTCGTCATGTTTAAGCTTCCTGATTTTGCCCTTGTGGCGATCGATTTCCTTCTGTAGACGCTCAATCTCCTTTTTGTGGTGCTCAATCTCTTCCGTATGATGCTTCCTTAGTGCTTCCATCTGCTCCTTCTCCTTCTGCCTACAAGCGGAAAAAACAAACAAACAAACAAACAAAAAAGTTAATGGGTGAAAGTGTTGTGGGGAAAAAATAAAAATCCCAGGGAATATTTACCTGAAGTATCGCTCCTCTTCCGCTACTTCTCTCTTTCCAAATGCACCTCCGGCCTCTCTCACAGAGCCTCCTCCACCACCACCTTTCCCAGCTCCCTTGCCCAACTCACCAAGCTAGAAGAAAAAAACGATAGACATCAAAGTGCAAGTGCTATTATGTTAGGACCAACATTTCTGTAAATCAAGACAAGTGCATTTATTTTCCATCTGACCCACAAGTATACGCTCATCCATCACAAGTTAAAATCTTGACACATTGGAGATGGTGGCACTGACAAAATGACAGAAGGCTCAGCTGAAGATGTAAAGATCTTCACTAGGATGACCAGATTGGACAAGTTTAGAAATGAGTACATTTCGAGCATTTGGAGATAAAGTTAGGGAAGCAAAGCTGAGATGGTATCTACATGTGTAAAGGAAGGATAGTGGATATATTGGATAAAGGCTGTTGAAGATGGAGCTGGCAGGCAGAGGGAAAAGAGGAAGATGTCAGAGGAGGCTCATGAATATAATAAAGAAGAAGATGCTTAGGGATGGGGTGATATGAGCTGGAGACAATCGATCTGCTGTGACAACCTCTAAAGGAGGCAGCTGGATGTTGTAGTAGAAGAAGAAAGTGTGCCGGGCAGCAGCTCATACTGAGTGTACAGAATGTGGAATAGACTACAGTGATCTTTTTGACCTTTGACCATTTTCATTGGAGTCTGAATAAGGTGTGCCAACCTTCAACTGAAATGACACAGTAAGGTTAGATTTTTCACTTCTTTCACGGAATAAAGCTTAATTTAATTAATTTTTCCTTCCAAGATAAGGGGCTTGCCACATTTCAGCAGTTTTGCACATAAATGCTGGTGATTTTAGGTATTTACACAACTAAAAAGGGGATAAAATATTTATTTTATCCTGTTCATAAGAACAGCGTTACAATTAATGTCACATACTTAGTCTATATAGCCATAAACCAACTGACATGTCGCAAAAAAGTGAGTCAGTAAAGTGTTTAGGGGTAAATAAAACTGCACATACATCATTTTGCGTGTTTTTCATTGCAGCCATGAGGGATCTTCTGTCGTCTCTATTTACAAACATCACTGTTTGCTTTTTCCACCAATTAAGTCGCATTTTTGACCACCTGGCTTCCTCGCGAGCCTTTTACCGATATGGCAGACGTTAGCGAGCTAGCTGCTAACGTCCAAAACTGTGACCAAACCCACCAAAGTTTACCTGATCAGATGCCATTCTGATCTGAGAGGCGACGCATCTCCTCAGGTTTGCCCCCAGAAGAAGTCTCGCCATTGCCACTCAAATAACAGCTAAAACAACTGCACCAAAACAGAGAAAAGTTTAGTGCGACTAGTTGTCCTTTTAGCACAAAATGCGGAAATTTGAAGTAAACGCCTTGTATGGGCGTGGAGAATACCGGTTGTGGCACACGCGCGCTTGTTGCTGCCACCACCCGGCGAGGGGGAGAAGTGCAGCAGTTCCGTCCATATGGCTCCATCTTAAATTTCGTATTTCAGCTTGTTTCAGCACTTTCAGGTGATTTTTTTTTTTTAGCTTTTCAGTCAAGAAGTCATGTGCATAAGATCTAAGAAACAAATCGCGTGCATACACATTAAATGTAATTCCAAGTGGATCAGTCCAGTTTCTCAAATGCCTCACACCACAACATTTCTGATTTGTCTGGACGTAATCCTAGGTGATAGGAATTGCAGAAAAGTTTAAAATTTCAAATCCTTACTGACAATAATTTTCTAAAAATAAATGAATATAAAATAAAAATAAAAATAAAAAGAGACATTTGAAATTCCAATATCTAGACATCTAGATGACCTTGAGCCCGATCCTTCATATTTTTAAGGATATATATCTTTTATTGCTCTCTGGATATGGACTTATGGAGTGTAGCTGACGTTAACCCCGAATGATGGATTCTTAAATTTCCTAAAATATCTGGATGTTTGCTATCTGACAGCAGATTTGGAGGCCTGTAGAAAACACCATCTTGCAGGTAGAGGACTGATATTCTATTTACAGCTGAGATGACCAAATCCCAACAAATTAATGTGGGACAAACACAGCGGTGCACGTTACTAGTGCTGAGCCTTTTTGGTAACTTGTAACATCCACTAATTGGCAAAATATTATGCAGGTTAACATACGTCTGAATAAAAATAAAAAGTTTTTCCTTTTACACTCACTGAGTAAGAGCCAGGCTTTAGAATAGTGTCCTGTGCAGCAAGTGAAAATGTAGGATGTGATCTGAAGATGTGGGACAGGAGTGCCAACACTGTGCAGTCCCACTTAAAGAGGGACAGCTGATCGCCCTATTTACAGCTTCTCATATACAAAGCACATAACACTCAACAATCCAAGTCAACTGGATTGTTTCACAGATATCAATGGGATTAATTATCATGGTATGGTAAAATCCAAATTAAGCTAGTATTTTCTGTATATCTATATATTAAATTTTGTGATGGTGTCCTTTCTCATTTCCTTGATATTTATCTACATCAGCCAAAGATGATTTTGAAAACAAAACAAAGTCTTATATTTCAGTTCAAGTTTTTTTCTGGCCAAGAAGAGAGGATGTGTGCTGGATGCCTCAGCACAACATAACTGCAAAAACAAGCAGATACGCAGAGATAAGCAGAACCTAATTAAAAGATGAGAGAAAAAAACATGATAAATTAGAATTTATATATTGAGGAACGGGATCTGCTAGGGATTTGACAAGGAACTAATGGGATCACAGTGGGGTTTTAGTGAGCATCTTGTCAGGTTTCATCCTCACATTTGAAAGGAGAAAGTTGCCAGTTTCCAAAAAGAATACAACTGAACATAAAATTGTTAAGCATACATGGCCAAGCCAGAAAACTCTTGGAAAAATTATTGGGTGACACTGGAGAGTTAGTGGAAATGAAAAGCATTTTTGGCAGAAAGATGAATTCTGCTTTCCAAGATAAGAACCTTACTCCAACTGTGAAACGTGGTGGTGTATATATACATAACTTGGACCTGTTTTGCTATTACTGACAAACCAGTGACGTCCAAATTATACCAGAAAATTCTAAAGGAAATATTCCAGGCCACAGTTTCAAGAGAAAGTGGGTCATGCAGCAAGACAAAGACAGTCTGCACATGAATTTGCCTACAAGAGAATGATCAGAGAAGAATGAACTCAATGTTCTGATTATTATCCAACGGATACACTAGGAGGCAGTGGGTACACATCTTAGCAGAAAATGCAAGTATATGTAACCCAAGCCAAGATTAATTGCTGTAATAAAAATATACTGGAGATATGCAGTTAATGCACAGAGGGTAGAGGAAAACTGTTTCATTGTACTTGGCAGAAAGATTAAAACAATTTGGGATGAGATTAGAGGGTAAAAAAGAGATTTGAAATGAAATTCAACAAGGCCTAAAGCTATGCATAATTGATTTGTATTCAGAAGGACACAATTATACTAAAAATGAACAATTTTTAATAAGGGTCCTTTTTTTATAACAGTCAAAATGCTGGCAGCTATTCTGGAAAACAAAACAAAAACCCCATAGACTAAATTTGCATACTGAATAAAACAAATCATGTCAAACGTTTGATTAGAAAGAACATGTTGAAAACAAAAGCTTTTAAAGGGACCTTTAAAAAAAATTAGGGGATCATGTTGGTTTGTTTTTGTTGTATTTTATGAATTCCTCGCTGAGTTAGCTTTTTTCGATGGCAAATATTTAGACATATTTACTGCTGCACAAAGCCAGGTAGTGTCAGATTTACAGATTTTTCTCTTCACAGATATATAATGGTGAATTATTTTGAAGTTTATTTTCTAAGAATTAATCACAAGCTTTGATATGAGAAGGCAGAACAGTGACTGCTGGGTACAGGAGGTGATGACTGTCTGAGATTACGGTCAAACAGAAGTCAGGCTGGCTTAATTTGATGTTTGGCATACTCTCATGTGTTATAGGAGAGCTTGTGAAAAGAAATACATCACCAGTTACACAGAAAACTGCACCTTGAACTTTGTTGGTGGATAAATTTCCCAGTTCTTGTAAAAGCTGACCTCACAGGAGGTCAGCTTTGAGGGGTGGCTGCGATTTAGCGGGCAGAGCAGGTCATCTACTAAATCAGAGGTTTGGCGGTTTGATCCTTGGCTGCTCCAGTTTGCATGTCGAAGTATCCTTGGGGCAAGATACTGAATCCCTGGCTGCTCCCGGTGCATTCATGGGAGTGTGAATGTGTGTGTGAATGGGCGAATGAGACATGTTGTATAAACTGCTTTAAGTGCTCAAGCTGAGCA